ACTTGTTAGCTGCTATCTGGCTCCCCAAATCTACAGCAGTGGTGAATTTCAGGGGCCACCAAATGGGAAAAGATCCAATCTCGATAGGAAATGCACTCGCTGACAGGAGGGCTCGAGAAGCAGCTCTAAAGTCATCTGTACAGCCTATGGCTCATTTGCTGCCATTTCTGCCTTTTTTATAAAGTTCTGCCTTGGAATACACCAATTGGGGCAAACAAGGGAGTTTTTATACTGTATGGCCCAATGGTTAAGGCAAGTAAAAAGAGAACAATTGGTCCTATTAGAGCTAAGAATAGAGTGGTCATCCAGAGGGACAATGAGGGCAGGTTTTGGAATCAGATTTGGTCAAGTTGTCGTTGTTGCTCCCGTTCATGGAGTCTTTTCCTAAATTTGTTTATGTTATCTCGTATGACTCCAGAGTGACTGGCGTAGAAACAGCAAGCCTCTCCTAAGGCTACGCACAAACCACCTTTTTTATGAGTAATAGGTCTAGGAATAAGTCTTTGGAATTTTATAAAAATTCCAAAAATTTTTATAAAACCCCCTTGTTTGCCCCAATTGGTGTATTCCAAGTCAGATCAGGAGCTAGCTAGACAACTGAGAGCAAAACAAGAGCCCCCGAAAATTGGTTTCAATTGCCAGACAGACGAATTTTAATACTCGCTGCCTTAGAAAGAGACTCGATTCTTCAAATCCACCAGGCCTCACACCTAGTTAACTCAAAACTGGCTGAGTTGCTTCGGAACAGGTACTTCATTCCTAAGCTGACTCAATTAGCAAAGGAAGTCAGTTAAAGATGCCCACAATGTCTGCATGTAAATACCAAAGCCACCACTATCTCAGAGGGGATTCGATACCGGGGAACATTTCCAGGAGAACACTGGGAAACTGATTTCACGGACATGGGAAAACCAGGACTACACAGACATAAGTATTTTCTGTTTCTGGTGGACACTTTCACTGGATGGATGGAGGAACGCCCGATGAAGACTGAATTGGCCTCGATTGTTGTCAAAAGCTTTTATATGAAATTCCTAGATTTGGCCTTTCCTTATCTGTGGGGTCCAACAATGGCCCGGCTTTCATAGCTTTCATCACTAATAAAGTTGCTAAGTTATTACAGACTAATTGGAAATTTCATTGTGCCTACCATCCCCAAAGTTCGGGTCAAGTTGAAAGGATGAATCGAACTTTAAAAGACATGCTTAGCAAACTGATTGTAGAGTCTGGTGAAAACTGGGTGAGTCTTCTTTCTTTTGCCCTCTTGCGCATGCATTGTCCTCCATATATAAATGGAATAACCCCTTTTGAGGCAGCCTATGGGAGACCACCACCCCTCGTTCCCCACCTTGGTAGTACCCATTTGGCAAGACTGCTAACCACAGATTAATTAAATCCAGGCAGGCTCTTCAACCTGTGCTGACTTCCATCCACCAACTCTTCAGAGTCCACCAAGGCAAGCTATGCACACCAGAGGCCCCTTCGGCCACAAGACCAGGAGATTGAGAGTTACTTTAAGTGTTGTTCCTGCAACTCTTCTCTTGAACCTTGCTGAACCAGACCGTACACCATCATCCTCAGCACCCCTATGGCTGTCAAAGCAGCAGGAAATCCTACTTGGATACATCACTCACACATCAAGGTCCTCCCTCCAGATACCCAGGACACAGATCAGTGGACTGTTACTCAGACTAACACCCTCTAAGACTCAAACTGTCAAAATGTTCTTGATAATGATGGTTTCTCTTGCTTGTTGGGAAATGGTTGCTTTGTCTCTTGAACATGACCCATCCTTACCTTCGGAAATATTCAAGGTAATAGAACTTGTGTCAGATCTGCTGCCTATAACCCCAACTCCAGCCCTATGCAAACTTATGTTCTGACTCTATTGTAATAACCAATGTCTCTTATGCACCGAGTCAACACCTGGAAACCCCTATAGAATCTTGGTTTGGTTGTACTTCAGGCTTAACTCCTTGTGCCATGCTTGATATATTTACTAGGCATACTGAACTATGTATTCTTGCACATGTATTTCCCCAAGTTTACTGGTATTCTGACACTAGTAGAAAAAAACACTTAAATTTAGAATCTGACCTCTTTAGGACAGCTTAAGCAGTCCCTGTATTAATACCAATTTTGATGGGACTAGGTCTCTCTGGAGCCACAGCATTGGGAGCAACAAGCCCAATAATTGGTGACCAAAACTACCGAGAACTAAGTGCCCTAATAGACAAAGATTTGGCAATTATAAAACATTCTGTATCCAAATTGGGAGAGTCCCTAGGGTCTCTGGCAGAAATAGTTCTCTAAAACCATAGGAGCCTAGACCTATTATTCATAAAAAAGGTGGTTTGTGCGTAGCCTTAGGAGAGGCTTGCTGTTTCTACGCCAGTCACTCTGGAGAAATACGAGATAACATAAACAAATTTAGGAAAAGACTCCATGAACGGGAGCAACAACGACAACTTGACCAAATCTGATTCCAAAACCTGCCCTCATTGTCCCTCTGGATGACCACTCTATTCTCAGCTCTAATAGGACCAATTGTTCTCTTTTTACTTGCCTTAACCATCGGGCCATACAGTATAAAGTGCCTTCCAAACCACATCCAGGACCAACCGCAAGCTGTTAAAATGTTCATGGTTAGACAGGAAGGATTAACCAGTTACCTACAGATGATTGTGACAGAGTCAAAGATTTAACTTAATGACCAAAAGCAGTGGGGAGAGTTATAAGCTCAAGACCCAAAACCTGCTGTTCTTATAACTTGTTAGCTTCCTGTAAAACTTATGTGATTGCCAGTCAAGTTGCAATCTTGTAACATACCCACCATGTAACCCTCTCCCTGCCTCCCTGGTTCCTGTAACTGCTTGTTCTGCCTGCCTGGTTCCTTTTATGGGGACAAACTGATCCTAAGATCCTGACCCCTCCCCTTGTGACTTGCTACTTGATAACTCCCTGCAGCCCCTGGCTCAGGCACACACTTTCCTGACTGCTATAGGGGACAGTATTGCTGATGAGTTCAGCTAATAAAGTACTTTTTAAAATTTTTTGGAGTCCGTCATTTTTCTGCCCATATCACTATCCACCTCACCTAGCAAAGCTGCTAGACCTACCTCTCACTCCACCCACACGGCCACCTTCCAGCAGAGGGCTCCATGTATGGACCTGAGTACTCTCCTAATCTCACTTTTCCTAAATTACCCTCCTGTTCATTTCTGCTTCCAGGAGACGTGCACTCACAGATGGTGTTCAATTACTGTTCCTTTGTGATTCACTATGTTTTGTCTTTTGCCTCTGATAGGCTTTATCCCAAATTTGGTACAGTGAAGAAGCCAACTCCTTTCCTGCTTGGATATAAAACGTGATGCATGTTGGATACGGGGTACCCCTCACTTCTTGTACATCAGGACTGCCATGCTTAGTCTCACCACTCTAGGGCCATGACTAAAATAAACTACAATGCTATACATGCAGAACAAAAATAGTCTGTGATATTGCAGATGCCACTCATTCAGACAGACACATACCAGTGGCTCAGAGATTCAACCCCGGACCACAAGGGAGAAACTTCTCACAGAATGAAACTGATGCTATCATTTGAAGAGATGCTAAGCCTCTTCTTTTACAAGGCCCATTCCCTTCTCTGGCCAGAAATAATAATCATGACCAGGATGACTGTGGATAGCTCTCTCCCACCACTGGGTGCCAGAGTCAGACGGCTCCTCTTTGCTGGGAACAACACAATCAATCCTTGTATGCCATGCCCAACACTACCAAATATTTGGGTTGGGCTCCCCTTGAGTCCAAATACCATCGTCTTATATCAAAAAAATTGATTAGTTTTCAAGGCCTGGAAGGTGTTGGGCTGCCCTGGTGGCATTCGCTGACTCTGTGGCAGCAGTCTGTGGTCCTGGCTGCCCGCTGGCTGGATTGGTTGCTGCACCTGGGTAGCCCTTATATGCAACAGTGACAAAAAGAATTCCTGGCAGTGCTGCCCACCCGGCTGTGTTGTACCACAGATGACTGCTGTAAGTTTCACGGTGTGATCAACTGGCCACCACTTTTATTCCCTCTGAGGTCCTAGAGGATGTTATAGAGTCTCTGACTCAGTACTCTTAGAAAGCCCTGAGTGACACTGTCTAGGCAATCACTGTTAAATATTGAAGTTCAACTTATGAGAAACAAAGTATTAAAAAATCAAATGGCAGATAAGGTTCAGGGCCTGTAGAGAATCCAAAGCACAGAGGAGTCAGAAAAACCTCAAGGTCTCAAAACAAACTAAAGGAAGACACTCACCTCCAAAGCAAACAGGCACCTACCTCTCTCTGAAGTAGGTCAACACTCCTGGTTTTATTTATTCCTTGAAATACCCAGTTAATCATAAAAATATAACACGAGACCACATCCCGTGTAACTACCATCTTGGCACTGGTCCAAAAAGACTGGTGGTTTTTTTTGTCTCTCTTTCAGTATTAAGTTGCAATAAATTCTATCTACACACAATAGCATACATGAGTTGTCTGAAATTGTTCGTCAAAGATGCAAAGGATGAGGTGTGTTGCTACCTGGAGGCTGAGGCCCCCTGTGTGAGAACCCAGCTTCCCGGTAAGGAGAGGACACTGGTGCTCTTACTGTGGTCGCTAGCCCACTGGTGCTCCCACATTTCATAGCCTGGGGTTCCCTGGGACACTCTGTCTGCCTTCCAGACCTGTGAGTTTCGAGCATAACACACAGCAGAGGCCCAAGGACACTGCATGTGAGAAACACTGCGGCCTGCTGCAGCTCTCCAAAGGATTCGACATAGAGTTTACAGGAGAACGTTCAGAATAATCCCCACCCAACCAGGCTGTGTCAGTCAAAGAGCCAAAGTCAGGAAGGCTAGTGGGGAGATGTGTCACAGCTGGGGAAGAAAATGACCCACACCCCAACATGATCAAGAGAGTCGACGTGTGTGACTCCATATTTTTTTAAATGATTTGTGCCTTTTCATTTACCTTGAATTATTTTTTCTCTACACTCCTCCAGGTCCCACAACATAACAAAATCCTGTGACGCAGAACAGATGAGAAGCGGAGTCTCTTGGTTTCCAAAAGCTACCGCAGTAATAGACTGGAAGTGTCCTTGTAGAATCAGAAGCTAAAAAATTAAAAACAAAACTATCGAAGTTACATATAATATCTAAAAATAAAATAAAACATGCATAACTTCAAAAACCTAGGAAATTAGGAAACCTAGGAAATTATCAAACACATGTATCTCCTGTACTCATTTGAATTCAGTGGTTCCAAGTCTGGCTTAGGCACTTGTGGACAATCTATTCAGGTTAGTCCGTTGGTCACTGAAATCTCTGACAGTGATATAGGCGGTGTCTTTCCCTCTTCTCTAGAGTCTGTTAACAAACAAATGCGTGAGAAGTCCACACTACAGGCAAAGGGGAATCAGCTGAGTGGACTACAGGGAAAGCAGCTAAGCCAGGACACACCCAGCCTGGCAGGCAAGTGGGCTGGAGGCGCTGCTGGCTCCTTCGGGAGCCAGGTGAAGCTGGAAGCAGGTGCCAGAGGCCTGGCACTGACACACATGGAGTTTGACGGCCAGTAAAGGTGTCAGAGCAGAGGAACAAAACACAGCTACAGTGTCCAACTCACTTTTCTTGTTGCGGGTACAAAATACCTGGCACCAGCAATTTAAAGGAGCAGTGGTTTATTTTGGCTCACATTCTAGAAGCTTCAATCCATGTCTGCAGCATGGCGAGCAGCACAGTGAAAGAAAAGCTGCTCAAATACGGCAGGAAGAAGCAGAGAGAGAAGGGAAGCGATAAGGGAGAAAGATGCCCTTCCAGCCCCACCCCCAGCACCCCAAGCCAGCTGAATACCCCCAAAATCCAATCACATTCCACCAGCCCTGTCTCTGAGCACATGCAGTTTTTAGGGGACATCGGATATAAACCATAACATACAAGCATGGAGGAGAGACTAAAGGGGGACCCAGAGGGCTGGGAAGACAGATGGCAATGTGCAAAATGTTCAGGGAAGACAAACACAGAGCAGTGATGATGGAGATGAGAGAAGCAGACGGATGGAAGGCTCCATGACCAATGGACATAGAGGGACAGAGGAAAGGACAGCACACGTGGAATTAGTGCAACAGACTGAAAAAATAGCGTGAAAGAAAAAAGGAAGTACAAAGGACGGCAGAAGAGATGCAGACAGGTCGGGACCATTTGGCTCCAGTAAGCAGATGCATGTATAGGTTGACAACAGATAAACAACAGGGACATTATTCTAAAGTGGACAAAGAAAGAGCCACTTCTGGTCACAGAAGGTTGGTTCATCCACACCAAGTCTTTGGCTAAGAATACTGGGAAAAGTTGTAACAAATCATAATAATGACAACAGCAACTTTTTTACAGTATCAGAAAGCAATAAAGGTGCTAGAAAATCATGATACCAAAATCACACAGAAGAAAGCTAAAGAAGGTGATTCCAGCACCTGGGGGGCACTTGTGCCAACAAGAAATGCACTATAAAGTCAACTCTCCAGCATTCTAGCAAATGCCAATGAGGACCCGAGACATGTCTGGAGCTAAAAGCATATCCTACTGAGAGAATGACAAAGGCCACTGTCACTTCTTCAGTACTTCTGATGCAGAGGTGAGTGTCTGAATGTTGGGATCTTTACATTTTTCTAAAACAATGTAAGCAGGTTTTAACAAATTTCTGCTAGGAATACTAACGTGGGTGGATGGAACATGTTAATAATACCCAGGGTTGGAATAGGAGCCGAAAAAGTATAAAAGACCAAAGACCAAGTGAAAAAAAGAACTGCTCTCACAAAAACTGGAGCCAGCTATGAATTATCATGCTCTCTGACTAGGACAGGATGGTCTGGGACTTTAGCACAAGCAATAACCAGAAGCAAACCTATATTGTCTCTGGAAGAGATGAAGCCACCCAGGGTCTCAAATTAATGCTACATTTTTTTCATCTACAATGTCCAGCAGTCAATCAAAAGCAAGCAGCTGTTTAAGGAGACGAGATCATTCAATCAAAAACAAAGAAAAATAACGCAGCACAAAAAAATGGTGCAGACCAACCCAAAAGTTAGACAAAATGCTTTTTAAAGTTATAGCTTTGCCCATACATTTAATAACTTAAATAGATACATAGAAGATTGATTTTTAAACTGAATCTAAACAAGGGAGGCAAGCCAGTAATTCTAGCTACTTGGAAGGCTGAGGTAGGAGGATTACAAGTTCAATGCCAGGCTGGATAACTTAGTGAAACACTGTCTGCAGATAAAGGGGGCTACATTGTACCACACAGGTAAAGCATGTCTGAGGCCCTGGGTGGTAAAGAATGTGTGAGGCTCTGGGTTCAATGCCAGTTATAAAAAAAGATAATTATCTCCTCAGATGCAAACTAAAAACAAATTCAAAGAATTGACAGCATGTTAGACTTTGCAGAAGAAAGAATGTTTGGATCTGAAGGAATAGTAATAGAAACTATACAAAATGAAACACACAGAGAAAAGTCCACATACGTAAAATGGAAGGACAATCAGAGAGCAGTGGAAAACCTGAAGTGACCTAATACACAAGTAAGCAAAACATGGAAAAGATAAAGGGGACAATATTTAAAGAAATGATGGGATTTTTCTAGATTTGATGAAAACTATGATCTCACAGAACTACAAAAGTAAGAGATAAAAAAATTACACCTGGACATATCATAATCAAATTGCTCAGAACTAATGGAAATTTAAAATCTTACAAACAGCCTGAGAAAAAATGACAAACCAAATTCATAAAAATAATACATTTGTCATTGGAAAGACAGTACAGCAAAATATTAAAATACTAAAGAAAAACTTGTCAACCTAGGATTCTTTACCTAGTAAAAATGTCTTTCAAAAACAAAGCAAAATTAAACAATCATTTTCATACAGATAAAAGCTGAGATAATTTATCAGCACATCTGCTTCAAGAAGGAGGAAAATGCTAGCAGAAGGAAATCTGAGGAGCTACACAAAATCTGAGGAGCACCGAAACGTTCCTGCCCTGCTATGTGTGTGAGATATTTTCCTGATGCTTGAATCTCTTGTACTAGGGAGTTTTTCACACACAGAGAAAAAAAAAAAAAACAATACATGGTAATAATAACATTCAGGCTGTGTGGGGAAAGTGAAAGATCCAACACGCTAATGCTGCTGGACAGGAAGTAGCCAGGGAAGACGTCAATGCAGAGAACAGCACCAAGGATAAAAGTCACACAGAATAAGTGGGGTCAATGCATCAAGAAGACACAGAGTACTAAACAACTATGTGCTCCACAATAGAGTTTCCAAGTGCACAGAACAAAATCTCAGAGGAAAGAAACTGAAGAGTTCACAATTAGAGTCACAGATTTTTTTTTTTTTTTTGTCTTTTTCATTTTTATCAGTACTAGGGATCGAACTCACGACCGCCTGTTGCAAGGCAGGTGCTTATGCCGCTGAGCTAAATCCCCAGCCCCTAGAGTCACAGATTTAAACACCCGTCTCTCTAGCTGGATGGCACACACCTGTGACACCAGCACTGGAGAGGCTGAGGCAGGAGGAATGCCTTGAGTTCAAGGTCAACCTGCACTACATAGGAGACCCTGTCTCAATAAGTAAATAAATCTCTTTCAGTAACTGCTGGAACAAGTGGACATAAAATCAACAAGAATATAGGAGACTTGAGGGTCACTGCTAGCCAGTATGAGCCAGCTGACATTTATAACGCAAACAACACAAACATAAAAATCCATACCCGTTTGATCTGTAATAGCCCAAAACTAAATGTAATCTCAATATCCCCAAGAGGAAAATGAATAAACAAGGTATAAAATATCATACAATGGGACTCCTTCAACAGAGAAAAAAAGAGGATGCTCTGGTAAATGCAACAACGTGGATGAATCTCAAAATAATAATTCTGAAACTGCAAACTAAAGGAACAGGGAGCTTTTATTATTTATAACATACAAAGAACTTCTTCAAACCAACAGGAGAAGTACAGATGTTCCAGTAGCAAAGTGGCAAGAGAGCACCACACACACACACACACACACACCAAAAGCAAGTGTCTAAATAACCAGTAGGGATGCAGAAGGTAGTGAACCTCACTCACAGTCAGTGATGTTATAATTAGCTAAGATAAGCCTCACTTGCCCACCAACAGTTACAATGAAAGGGCTCAGTGCCAGCAAGGCTGAGGCAGGGAGCGCTCACACACCATCTGCAGAACTCAACTGGTGCCAGTCGCGCACTACCTGCTAAGTGCACACACCCCTGAAACTCAGCAATCACACACATACATCCACACACATAAGACACGTAAAGAAGCATAGTCATAACCAAAAAATGGAAATAAAGCGCCTACTGACATTAGAACAGGTAGACTGTGGTCTGTTCCGACAATGTACTACACAGCAATGAAGGGAAAGTGACGTGAGCCTTGTAAACACAATGCTGAATGAAGAGACCCCAACTGGAGAAGTCCAAGGTGCACGGCTCCACTTACACACTGCTCAGCAAGAGCAAGCTGACCTCTGCTGCTGGACGTCAGGGGTGGACCTGCACCTGCCCTGTGGGGAGGGGCTAGGAGGCCCGGCCTGGGCTGGCTGCCAGGTATGTGCACTTCACGCAGAGGGCTTTTTCTTAAATATTGTGTGCTTCACTGCAGGGAAAGGTCAGGCTGGCAACGTGAAATGTGGGAATCTTGTCTGTGTTATGACAAAACTTGTCTTGCTCATGTTGTTATTAGAGGTGTTTTTAAATAACGAAATTCCAGGAAGATGATTTTCCAAAAATACGAACTTAACACTGTGGCTTTATCAACACTTTTCTTCCTTGCTTGGCAGCTGAATCCATAGAAAAGAATGTCACCTAAATGGCATCCGGAAATGCAGACACAGGGAGGGCCTTCACAACCTTGGGCTTAAGACTTAACACTCACGAGCTGCTGAGTACCTGGTGAGCAGGGTCCCTGCAGCCCCACAGGCAGAGCTGGTTTCCATCCAAAGGGAAGGCGCAGAACTGTGCGTTGCAGGCCAGCTGCACGTGAGAAGCACATTCCTTGGAGTCTACCACGTATTTTTCCATCACTATCTCACTCTCATAGCCACCAGTAGGAAAAATCTCCTGGGGTTCTTCCATCTTCAATCTGAAAACATAAAACACACACATGATGACGGTAGGTGTGATATGTAACTTAGACAAACACTCCTTATTCATTCACCCTCATCATGGATTCAATCCCAGACTGCCCACTCCACAGGTCTTGTATGACCTCGCCTGTCCCCTCACTGTGAAGTGAAAACCAGAACTTACAGACAACCTGCACTAGCTCTACCGAGTGTGAGAAACACAGCGTTCAAAATCATGCTCCTGACACCGACTGCTATACCAAAGCTGTTGTCTTGTTTCACCACGTCTTGGCGGCGGGTGGTAAACTGCAAGGTGGTCCAGCAGATCTCTCAGTCCGCCCAGCACATACGCAAGTATTTCTTAGCATTCTCTACCATAAACTTAGGTCACCCCAGGCGTATAACCAGTGACTCACTGGTTAGATTTTCACAAAGCCTAAGTAAAATACTGAAATAAAGAATGATTCAGACTTTTCCCTTTTCATTCTTAGTACTTCCATAAAAAAGTAAATTCAGACACATGGGCACTGACCCAGGAGTCACTGCCTCAATCCACTGCAGGACAGAAGGACTTGAGACAGGGGTAGAGTCATGGAATACATGCAGAAATACAGGCTCAACTTTCTGGCATCATATGGTGGCTGCGACGGCAGAGAGGATACCAGGCCTTCCCTACCTGACCACCCTGCTGGTCACCACACTGGCACCATAAGTATCAGAGCCCCTCTACACACCTACTGAGCAACTAAGCATTTGCTGAGCACACCTGGTAAGCACCTGCTGTCATCTGCTGAGCCCCTGCTGCACAGCTGCTAAGCCATCTGGAACTAGCAGAGAAGGCAATCAGAGTGTGATGCTGGGGTTAAGCAACCGCAACCAATATACCACCCCCATCTAATTTTAGGGGATTCTAGACAAGAACAACTGGCTGACCAGCTGTCACAAAGGACACCTCACAGACAACAGAAGGGCCCTACTACTCAGAAGCCCGGCAATGTCCATCCAGCAGTATGGACCACTGATATCCTGTGCCTCCCAAAAGCACTGCAGCTCAAAGAACCCAAGTACCTGAGCTGCCAAGCTCACCATACAGGTTCTTCTTAACCACACACCAGTTTGTCCAGGGTCTTAACATCTTCAAACCAGTTGTACCTGAAGCATCATCACTTCAACAAAACTTGACTAAGAACTCAAGATAAAAAGGGAGGCTTCGTTTCAATGAAAAGCTTCCAAAAGTGCACCTCAAGGCACATAAATTCTCAACCAGGTGTGGTATACGTACCTATAATCCCAGCCACACAGAAAGCTGAGACAGGAGGATCACAAGTTTGAGACCAGCCTGGGCAACTGTGAAACCTCATCTAAATGTTTCTAAAAAACTAAAAAATAAAAATCATAAATTATGCATGACCCACACCTTAAGAGTGTTCTCAGGCTCCACTTGGGACCTTTCTGGAGCTAGGTTTTCCTAAAGTTCACATTCACCACACACTCAACAGCGTTAGATAAAAGGACTGGGCTGCAGACACGGAAAGGTTGGGAAGAGGCCATGAGGAGCTTGGACCTAGGGTCTGCTGTCAGGAAAGCTTCCCTAGACTGGGCAGTGTCAGACCTGAGTGCACCACAGAATGGCACGAGTACCAGGTCTGTTTTCCTCCTGGATGGCAATCTGCACGCTGGGTACACGCTGTCACCCAAGACAAGAAGAACTCAGCATGTGACCAAGGTCACACAGGGCAGTTCACGCAGTAGCAAAGGCCTGCATCACTTTCTTATATGAACCTTAGTACTTCCCTCACATGTAAGGGAAAAATAATTGAAGAGAAATAAATGTACCTAGGATCTCATTTGGTTGTTGTTAGCAAATTAATCCAAAAAGTTTCCTAGAAAACCACTGATTTTTTCAGCCATCTCTGCAACTACCCACATAGAAGGAATATCTTAGCTTCCCAGAGGCCTTCTTGCACCAAAAAAAAACCACACAGGAGAACACTTACATGTGGCTTGGACCCAAATACCTTCAGATGTCCATGAGGGGCCCAAGTGGTCATCAGGACTCAGCCTTCCAGCAAGATGAAACCAAGGTAGTGTCTTAGTTACTTTCTCATTGCTAGGACAAAATACCCAGTTCCCACACGTTAAAGGAGGAAAAGTTTATTTTGGCTCATAGTTTGTAGAGATTTCAGTCCATAGTCAAACTGGTTCCAAGGCAGGGTGGCACAGCAGAATGAAAAGTCCTATCTACGTATGTGCGAGGCTTTGGGGAGACATCTAGAGATAAGCCATGACAGGTGGCTACCTTTAGTTCCATCTGATTGTAGTTACTGGCCACGAGGAAAATAAGTGTGTTAAAAGAAAAAAGCAGGTTTGAGGATGAGCCAAGGAAGGAAGACGGGGAGGTTTAAGCCCTGAGCTCGGGAGAGACAAACTGTTCAGAGCCCACTATGCTCTCAGGAAAACCACAAGGCCAAAGAAATGCAGAACAGAGTAAAAGTACACTGACAGCTCTTCACACACCAGTTCTACCTCTAGGCCCACTGCTCCAGGAAGTGGGCTGTAGCAGCACATAGGACCTATCTTCATTGGCCACATCAGATGCAGCTGTGGCAAGAAAACAGCCAAGCATGAACCAACAGTTCAGAAAATAAGGTTAGAGACAAAACCTGGGTTCTACTGGGAAAGCTCTCCCAGATCTATCTTCAGCATTTCAGAGCTCCAATGGACCAGCCTCTACAGCCACCCCTTTATGAAAGAGAATCTGTTACAACTACACTGCTTACGTTCACTGCTGCACCTTGGTGAAGGAGCCAGCAGGCTGCCTTCTTAGCTCACAGGTCCTGGGACCATGAAGAACCACACCTAGACCCAGTGGAGAACTGCACAATAAGGGCAGGTGTGCTGAGCAGGCCAGGCACCCTGATCAGGTGTGTCCCTCTGACAAGGTATGTTTATTTGGCCACCGAAAAGGAGACTGCTCATTTTTCACCAAACATACCCTTTTCTTTGGGGACATAGTACTAATCCAAATTATCAGTCTCCCTTGCAGTCAGGCAACATTACATGACTGAGTTCTGGCCATGGCAGCAAAGAGAGGTAACACATGGACATAAGTGATGCAGACACTTACAAGCCTGGCCCATAAAACTCTTCCATGTGAGACTCCTCTCTTTGTCCCACCACTAGCTAAGTGGAGAGATTTTGCAGCACTTAAAGAAGACGGACAATGGATGGAAGAACTCTGGATTAGTTAGGATTATCTGGAAGAGAATCATTAAAACATATATAACAATTATATAATTATGCAAGGGGATTTATTAAGTAGGCTTACGGCATCAGAGGCAGAAGAGTCATGCCGGAGAACCAGGTAGTCTTGTCCAAAGATAAGCTGCAAAAATAAAAGCTGCAGAACAAGAGGGATCAAAGACGTAGCACCAGTTCAAGGTCAAAGGCCTTAAAGCTCACTGAAGGGACACAGATGCGAGTCTGTATTGGAAGGTCAAAGAAACCAGAGACCAGGAGACGGATGTATAAGGTGAAGTCAGGAAAGGGCCCAAGCACCCAGAAAGACTGGAGCTCTTCAAAACAGACACACTTCCTTCTTCCTCCATTGATATTCACTCTCCACTGCAAGTCTATTGACTAGTACCACATAAAACTAGGGGGTGTTCCCTCCTCAGTCTGCCGGCTTAAAAGCCAATCACCCACAGACATTATGCCTTACTAATTTGGTAGACTTTTTTATTCCAGTGACATTGACACATCACAATGAATGGTCACAAGGTCTGTGAGTCACAGCTTGCATAGAACTAAGAAAGATCTGACTGGAACAGCCACAGAAGACCCTGTGACCAAGGTGTATACTGTTATTATACCATTTACACTATCTTTATCAATATAAATGGTCTGACCTTCTTTTACAATGACAAAAGCAATGCAGAGTAAAACATTTAAACAACACAGGAACAATAAAGTTGAATTTTCCATCTCAACTTCCTCTCCCTGCTGTACTTCCCTCAGGGGTACATGTAACAGGCCTTCCCCACACACATCCCATGCTAGCACAGTAACAGGAACAAGTCTTTGAGGAGACATTAATTTATTTTCTAGGAGACTATAGTTTACCTAAGACTGGATGTTAGTCACTTTCACTTTCTAGGACAAAATACCTCACAACCACAAATTAAAGGAGATGTTTATTTTGACTCATGGGCTCACAGGGTTAAGTCCATATCATCTGTCTGCAAGGCACAAACATCATGGCAGAGGGACGTGGTGGATGAAAAATGTCCACCTCATGGCAGCCAGGAGCAGAAAAACACAGACCTAAGGACAAGAATATACTCTTTTGGGCTGGCCACAGTTGGTGGCCTAGTCCGTGTCGTCATGTCTTGAATGAATAAGACTTTACACCAAAACCACCTTGATTTGGATTTCCAGCCTCCAGAATTGTGAGAAAATTTCTGGCGTTTATGAGGCACCCTATCTATAATATATTACAGCATCTGAAGAGACTTACTAAAGGAAAAATCGTTTACTACCACTATTAGTTATAGCGCTGAAGTTTAAAATTATTTCTTTTTTGTAATGACAACGCATATTTCAAAGTACTCCCGTTGCTGTGTCCACTCTCCTGTATTTCAGCCTGATATGAGTAGAGAAATAAAATGAGCAGATCCTAGTTGAGATTGCTTGCCCATCAGACCAGGACCAGCAGGAGAAAATACAGCGATCCACCCGAACCATATCCATTACATCCAAGCATCAGACTGCCACAAGAGTCCGCCACTTCAGATAAACCAGTTAGACCATGGCGGGGTCTCCGGCAGCAGGCTCCGTGTAGGCTTTGCGAAGGGCTACAGGGTGACCCAACGGCTTCAAGGCTACTTCCCCAGTCTCTGGAAAGTGGGCCAGCAGGTCCTGCAACCTGGCTCAAGGGGTGGGCCTGCGGGAACTCCTCCACGCGTGGACCCCGCCGCACAGAGCACCGAAGGACAAAACAAGGCGCGACCAAGAGACGAGGGGTGAGGTGTGGAGTCTTTCCCCAGCAGCTCATTCTCCACAGAAACAGAAACAGATAACATGTGATGGACGAATCCTTCACTACCTCGCCACTGGCCCCCGGCAACTTACAGAGATTACCAGTCTACAGCGCCTCCCGCGTCGCTACGGTTACTAAAAAGCCCGCCCGTCACACCACGCCTCTTCACTATTCTCGCGAGAGCAAGAAGCTTTACTTCCGGAGGAGGGACGCCTCCGTTCCGGGTGGCGCCGTATTTCCGGAAACCTTCACTTCAGGCCGCGAGCTCCTGTCGGCCTTCTAAGGCGAAGCCTGGTCGGCCCGAGTGCTATCTGGTCTGCGCTGCGGTGAGTGGCGGCGGCCGCCCTCCCTCCCTTTGCGTCGCTCTCCTCCCTTGGTGTCTCCTCCCTGCGCCTTCCTTCCCTTACAGTCCCCTCCCCTCACCATTCTTCCCTCCCCTGTTCCAGCCCATTTTGTCACCTCGACTCTGCAACCCCCTCCCGGGGACGCCTGAGCAGACGCGTAGGAGCCTGGCGGCAGGTGCCCAGGTGGACTTCACTGCGGGAATAGGGCGATTGCCCATGAGCACGCCCCCGCGCTGAGCACCTGACGATGGCGGCGTCCTGGCGGAGAGCTCTGCTGGTGCTCTTGGCGACCCAGGCTGTAGCCCTGGCCCAGGCTGTGGAGGAAGATGACGACGTGCCGGAAGAGTGGCTCCTCCTGCATGTGGTCCACGGCCAGATTGGGGCCGGGAACTACAGTTACCTGAGGCTGAACCACGAGGGTAGCATCGTCCTGCGGATGCGGAGCCTGAGCGGCGATGCGGACCTGTACGTGTCAGACAGCACCCTCCACCCAAGCTTTGATGACTACAAGCTGCAGTCTGCCACCTGCGGCCAGGACTCCGTGTTCATTCCTGCGCACTTCCAGCGCCCGGTGGGGATAGGCATCTATGGACACCCTTCCCACCAGGAGAGTGACTTCGAGATGAAGGTGTACTATGACCGGATGGTGGAACAATACCCTCTGGGCGACGCATACTCTTGGGACGGTGCAGACACTGGTCAGAAGCGCGCCTATACTCCGGAGGAGGCATCGCAAGAGGAGGAATCCGTTCTCTGGACTATAGTAATAAGCATCTTGAAACTGGTACTTGAAATTCTTTTCTGATTCCTGGAGCATGCGCTGGAGAGTAATATTACCCATGATTGGAAAAAGTGACTGCAGTGTGCTGTGAATCTTGTTAACATATACCTGATTGAAGTTCTAGCCACTTGTGGAAGAGGAATGAAAAACTAAAGCCATACGGTTTTGTTACCTCAGTTACCTCAAAAATAGGAAAAAGGAGCAAGCACAGTATTTCTTTCAAGATCAAAATTCTTGTGAAAGAAATTCATGCTCAAAATGCTTATATTACTCCATTCTGATCAGTTTTGTCAGGTTTGATCAAAAAGATTATTGCAGTCACCAATCAGAAGGTTTGTAACTTTATAATCTTACTGCAGACATTCTAAAAGTTCAGCTTGTTGTTTCTGGGAGTTCCCGAAATCAGGTCAGAAATCTAGTCATTTATTTACACCTCCTGAAACACGGGCTCATGTTTTAAGCCTGTGCTCTAAGTAGGGATATGGTACCTTTATCCAGACTGTCCTGGCACTAAGGTATTTGCAAACATTTTGTTCTGTGCCAGTTAATGACAACTGTAAACACAACTGCACCAAATCTTATGAGCTGGTAAATACCAGCTTATTCTTGACTCACGTGGTAAAACTCTTTACATAACTTTATTTACTAGTTATGGTTGGCCAGAAACAACACAAATTAGAAAAAAACACTAACTTTTCAGGCTAATGGAGAAATAGAATATTTTCAGTTAGGTTGCTAAGTATTTCTACTGAGTTTTGAAAAAAATTCAAAACACTATGAAATAAAATTCTTTTGGAAGATCAACTATTTCTCTACCTGGAATTAGTCTCGAGAGTAAGAGTAGTTTAAAACAAAATAAATCAACTTGCAGATTTTAAGCTCATAGTTAATTTCAAAAATCTTTTATTGGAATAAAAATGAAAATGTAAATTGGCACCACATATTGTAACATTTGGGTCAAAAAACTATTTTATCCCTCTTTGCTGTTTTTCCCCCTTCTCCCCACTTTCCTGGGTGTTGGGGGAGCTCGCTGACAACAGTCACAAATCCAGCGACCTAGGAGAAAAATTGTTAGTTAATATACAGTGGAATTTTACTTTCACAGGATTGACTATTAATTAAGCTATTTAAACTCCTTAGCTGTCAGTAATGGTAATCCCTGGCAGCTATCTGGTGAGAAAAGTACTAAATTCCTTAAATAAAGGACAAAAGTTAAACAGTAATCAATACAAACAATGCTGTATAAAATTCAGTGCAGGGTAAGAGTGCAATGCTACACAGTAATATGGACCTTTAAAAAAATTACTGTAATCCCCCCTAAAATTCAAACACTATCATACAAGTTTAATGATGCAAATCATAACATAACATCTCAAGTTTGACGTTTCAGCCTTTTGGTTCGAACAGCTATCTCTCAAGTCCTCATATATTGTGCTGATAAAGCACTTTAAAACTTCAACAGCACAATGATAAGCTATATTATATACTTGATCTAAATTACTACACAACTCTGAATAAGGTTGCTTGCTTCTAGATGAATCCCAGGAAACTTAGTTCTAAGCATATATTTTATAGAGTATTATACAGTGTTATCTATGCAAATAAGTTAAGAAATTACACGATTATTTGTGTAATAATTACTGTGATTTACTCTAATTCTGTTTTCATTCTACAGTTACCTGGAATTGTCATGCTGCCTCTGTTTATAGAAATTTGTTCTAATATGTATAAAGATATAGTAGTCACTTGAAGTTTCTAAACAGATGATGTATAAAAATAAAATCAAAGTTTTGAAACAAACTGATACTGCTACTCAAGGCTTTTCAACAGAAAAATATCAGTTCATGCTATACATTGAACTATACATCATTGATGCTATACATCAGAACTCTGCCTGGCCATTCTGACACTTTGTTTGCCCATTAGCTGCATGGTCTAGGGGTGAAAAGCAGGTAGACATGACCTGAGTAGTCGCAGCTTCAGTCATGTTTGAACAGAAGGGTCTACTGGCCATGTCTTCATGTCATTACAGTGCTTATGCAGCCTTAAAAAGAAATGCTGAGACAGTCTTCTCACTTAAGATAATGTGCTTTTTAACAGTCTTTACCTGATGGAATAGCACCAAGGCCAACACAAAAAGTATGATAACCTCTGTCACACACATCACAGAACATCATTTCTTCTTCATGGTGGGGTTGTCCACATATAATGCATGTCTTACATTCCATACACTGCCATGGGTAGGTCTTAATCATAGAAACAAGCTCCACGCTCATATCCAGGCAAGAAGGATGGCCTAAATCAAAACCAACGTTAGTAGCACTTCATAGAAGAATCTTCAACTTCATATGGTATATAAAATACAAGTCTGCTTTAGGACTTCCTAGGAGTGGCTATCATGTTTTATCACCATGAAAACACACTGTAGAGGGAAATACATGGACCCTGTCTCTGCCTTAAGTTTTCCTGTATATCTGATGTCCTTTGGAAGTCTAGCTGACAACCATAAATTCTAATTTCGAAGCAACAAATTGGGTAGGGATAAAAATCTTAAGACATCTCTATACTTACCACTGTTATCACACTGGGAGCAGTGTATAAGTGATTCAGCCTTTCCTTTCTTGTTGGACTCCTTACCCTTCAGACAAATTCCACATAGAGCATTGGGAATGACCTTTGGCTGGAAGGGTAGAAGAGGGCTATAAATTCATGCCACAAGAGCTTACCATGGGTTCAAAGGAATTCTGTTACTTCACTACCTTATGTTTACTTTGGTAACTTGCTAATGAGAACCTTTTTAAAAGATGTTAACTGGACTTGAGTTTGCTTACAACGAACAGACTACTGAGGAAAGCCTTAGATTTCATTTTTTAAAACTCATTATTGCATAATCTTTTTAAGATTGAATGTAGCAGTCTCTATCTCCTATACCAGTACTAAGATCTGTATAATGAATTAGAAGAACAAATGAAATATAATGTGAAATATTATTAGAAGAGAAAATCCAAGAATCAAATGACCATTACATGAGGTAAACCTAAATTTTAAGCTTAGGTACTGACTTTGTTTATATTTTCCAAAGTTGTAAAATTGGACTATAAAATCTAAGTTAAAACAGTGTCCTTAACATTCTTAATTGAACAATGTCTTATACATTATCATGTACATAAGTTTTTGAAAATGAACTGTGTAATGACTGTCTTTCATGTCTAACAAAATAGAAGAACCTAGACTATAAAACGAAGATTCACTATGAGATATAAAATACTACAAAGTTTTCAGAGAAGCAAAAAATAAGAGAGTCCGATTTAAAAAGCATATGCAGTGTTTGGAGTTTAAACAATCTGACAACACAAGGACAAAGGAAAACAGCTCCCTGCCGCTGGTTCCCAGGCCAGGGAGAATCCCAGTCGTGACTTGAGAAAGAGGATCACTCACAGAATCACTGCAGGCATCAAAATCACTGCTGGGAGGAAAGGAAAATTAAGTGGGGCTAAGAATGAAAGGGACGGCACGGGAACGTGATGATGGGCTGGGAAAGGAATGATTTTAAGTAGCATTGTTACATTTCTACCTTATTCAGCACATCCAAATGCATCTTGTGTATCTCTTACCTAAATTACTAAACCAAAGAAGAATCTCAGTAATCTGTGTAAAATATTCCAGCTTTGAAATGTCTTTCTGCTACCTTCAGAACCTGTTAGACCTAAAGAATTTGTTCTTACTTCTATTAAGTTTTTATTTTTAAATTAGCTTTCTTTGCAAAAGATGACAGAGGCATTTAAAAAGAATTTTTGGCTTATTTATTTAAAAAAAGTCAACCTTATACATAAATATGATAAAAACAATAACTAAACAATCACAAATGTCTCTACAAAATAATAAATATCATGGAAGTTAAACATACGTATAAAATGTCACCATTAACTATTCTCTATCTCCTATAGGTATTTTGATATCCTGCTCCCAACGAAAGGATAGTCACATGCTCAAACCTTAAGTCGTGCAGTGCAGCTCCCCTCTGCTGTTACTGCCACATTCTAAGCTCACAGCTCCCACTGTGTGTTCCTCCACGTCAATAAAAAGCTAGTAGGTGAACTCTCATTTTCCAAATTCTGAACAAATGAATTATGAGCAAATCTATAACTGCCATAATAGCAGAAACCTACTTTTTAATCAACCTAAACTAAGAAATCTGTGGCTATGGTGCCTGGCTAAATATAAAAGATATATGTATTTAATACTTGTAGTTTAACTTAGATATTGGCTTAGTAAGATCTTTCTCTCAAAGAAGTAACTACACAATATTAAACTCTAAAACAAGAACTCTTCATAGGTCCTTTATAAAACGTAAGTCAAAAGACATGAAACAAGGCTAGTCATTCACATTCTAGAGCAATTCAAGTTCTACAATCATTAAAATATACATAAATGCCTACAGTAAAAGGACATTAAGAAAATTCTAGGGTTATTTCTAAGCTCAAATCAATGTGTTGCTAAACCACTAAAAATTTTTCTTGACCCAACAGTCTTCATATTGACAAAACCAGGAAGAGAGGGAAGAGGAGGAGGGGAGAGAGCTTCGTAGCGCTTTCTATCGTGACTCTTGAAATCAGCCCTTTGTGCACATCAGTATTCGTGCTATCTAAGCAGCCAAGGTACCTGCATCTAGGACCTCATGGATCTAGGGAGGGGAGCAGTCAGTCCCTCGAGACTACAGAGTGGAAGGAGGACGCAGGGAAACAATGTGCTGAGCTTGCCTGAAGATCAATGAAACAGAACTCCACCTGTATCTAACTGATACACTCTATCCTACTTCAGAGAACTACACCGCCACCAAGTCTTGCTGAGGACAAAACAACAGTTCTCAGCATCTCAAATGAAAGGTAAGTTAGACCTTCATGGTACCATTAAAGTAGCATAGGTTTTAATTACACATTTTTGGCCTGAATGTTGGCAATATGCTTTAATTCCAGGTTAATGTAACCTAAACAGTACTGTCCTACAAATTTAGGGCAAGCACTAGTGAATATAATGCAAAACACCAGATACAGTATCATTTGTTTTAATTCTCTTGTATGGGGTGTGTCTGTGTAGTGTATGAGTTTCGGGTTGAAGTACCCTAATATTCAGGCACATCTTGGCTTAACTTTTTAGAGGTTAATTTTTAATAAGTATTTTCACATTAATGTATGTCTAGTTATTAGCTGATACCATCTTTGAACTGTCTGAAACATTTATGATAGCTAGGTTATAAAAATGTTCTCACAGATCACAGAATGTTTACTTTGCATATTAGACTCACTTGAGTACTAATAATTTAGGTTAAACTATATGATTTACTATATAATGAATCAATGATAATATGGCTCATTCTTCATTTTCAGCCTGCATTAAAACATCTACTTCAACATTCTCTTTTTCATCCACACATGGCCATGCATGCCTGTCATCCCTACTAAGGCAGGAGGACTGCAAACGATCCCAGCTTGGGTAACTCAGCAAGACCTTCCTGTCTTATTTAAAAATTAAAAAAAATTTTAAAAAGGGGCAGGGGGTAGGGATGTATGTAGCTCAGGGTTGGGCAAGTGCTTAGCATGTACAGGGCCCCAGACTGAATCCCCAATGTCACACACAAAAAATATTTTTAATCCATGATCAGATAGGTTTATTGTCGGCAAGAGCAAAGTACTGGATAGTGAGGAAGACCATGTGCCTTGAGCTGCCACTCCCAGTGGAATAAGCTCAGGTTTATTCATGTAGGTTGTTTCTGAAACTTAATCTTTGGAGTTTGTTTCCAGTTACTATGCATTAATTTAAACCTTCAATTTTAAAAAACTTAAAGTCTCTCTCTGTATGTTCAAAACAAGTATAAAAATCAGCACTGCAGCTTATTGAACTACCCTTGAAAAAGCAATCCTTGCTAAAATGACACTTAAAAATTGCTTGCAAAAACATACATGTTTAAATCACACACAAAGTCATTCTCTAATAAAATATGGAATATGCTAATTTGTTAGGTCTGGGTTTTTTTAAGATTTTACTTCATGAAAGATCAAAATTCTGCCGATGGTGGAGAAGGTGACTTAACAGTTCCCTTCAGCTTTTTATCCTAGGGTGATACACCACAGTAACATCGCTGACACTCAAGGGGCTTGACAACTTCACCTAGCGAAGTTTTCTCCATACCTTATTTAAAACTTTTCTTCATACAGCTTTATAACCATGACAAAGCCACATGCCAATACACTGCAGACCAACAGAACTATTTTACCGCAACTCCCAGAACAAAACCAGCTAATTCTGTTCCTTTTATGATATTCTTACATCCCTACATCCAAATAAGGCTGCTCACCTCTCATCGAATCTCTCCAAGGCAAGGAGCAGGCAGAGGAACAATACAGTACTAATAGTTGCTGACCACTTACTGTCTGCAAATACTATGAAAATAATCAAATCACAAGTTAACAGGTACATTTTAACCCCTGACCTGGAATCATGTGGACTATTTGCCAAGGTTATGCTAAAAGTCACAATGTAAACAACAACTTTATTTTCTATCCCAGAATCAGCTTAATTTAGCAGAAAGATCAAATAATCCTTAGACTAAACCGAATTTTTCTTACTGAAAGGCACTAAAAAAATGCAACCAGCATAACAATATGTCCACCCACACTGTACAGCTCAGCAGGCTTAGCTGTACCAAATACCAACTGCTCGATGGTTAAAATGCCAGATAATGATGACTTTAAGTGCTGTCTGTGAAATAACGTCTTAAAAAAAACTCATACTTGCCTGGT